GCCCCCCCGGCGGTCGCCGCTGCCATGGTGGCACTTGCCCGGGCCCCAAGCGCCAGCGTTGCCACCACTTCCGCATTCTGCGCTTCCGCTTCCTGCGGGAAACAGGCGACAAGCGAGAAGGAGCACCGACCCCGGCTAGAGAGGAGGCATAGTTTCGGGGGGAGGGCTAGAGCGGAGTCTGGTGTGGAGGACTGGGGCTCTCACCCTAGAGTCTGGTACAGGAGTAGAGTGGGGCCTCACAGCTGTGACCAGAAAATTGGGGGGTCTAGAGCGCAGCCTGGTGTGGATGACTGGCGCTCACACTAGAGTGGAAGAGAGTAGAATGGAGCCTCGCGGGGGAACGGGTCGAATGGAACCTGGCTTGGAGGACCGTGGCTATAATCATAGAGTCGGGGCGGCAGCTAAAACAGGGTCTGGCGTGGGGGACCGCGGCTGTGACCATATCGTGTACGTGTGGGCAGCCGGGTTGATAGGGGTGTGACTGAGATAGAGCAGAGCCTGTGAGCATGGGGAACAGTAGAGTGGAGCCCTGCAGCTGTGACCATAGGGTGAGAGTGACATGCTGCTTGGAGAACCGCAACTGTGACCATAAAGTTGGGTCTGGCTAGAACAGAACCTGGCATGGAGGATCATAGTTTTCACCGTAGAGGGCGGGGCTGAGTACAGTCCTGCGTGTAGGACCCTGGCTGTGACCATAGAGCAGAGAACAGGCTGGGCAAAGGGGAGCAGGCACAGAACTGTGCCTCTCACCGTAGGGTGGATGGATTATAGGGATTCCTGGGAGACCACATCCATTATCATGAATAGCAGCAAGGCCTGGGTTAGAGGACCACCCCCACCCTGTCACCTGAGTGGAGTGAACTAGGGGGCATCTTGCTGGGAGGACTGAAGGTGTGACCATAGAGTTGAAAACTGATAATTTGAAGTCCTCTTGTGACCTGCCAACACAGAGTAGGACAGCTCAGCTCAAGTGGACCACCCTTGGAACATAAATGAATAGGAGCTGCCTAGAGAGGAGCCCTCCTGGAGAATTGTGACTACCACCAGATAGATGATTCAGTTACAGTAGTACAGTGGAACCACAGAGTATGTGGGTGGGCTGGCTAGAGGAGCCCTTCTGGAGGACTGTGACTGTCACCAGCATTGGGGAGCAGGAGGTAGTACCTGGAAAAATACATAGCAGCACTGGGGGCCTAGACACCTAGGTTCTCTAAGGAGTAGGGGTCAGGGTGGAGCTTAGAGTAGGGAGAGGGCTCTGAGCCCAGATAGTTGTGGTGGGAGGAAGGCTGAACCGGACACTTAGGTTCTCCAGGTAGACTGGGGGCTGAGGCAGGGTCAGAGCAGGTGAGGCTGGAAGCCAAAACACCTGGGTCCCTCTGCACCAATAGATGGAAATGCCACCCCCCTTGTGACTAGTCATGGGGGAATCCCTCTGGGCACCCACAGGATTAACAGGGTCCCCAGGCCACAGCCCTTATAAAGCCTTGTGAGGCAGCTCCCACATGGAACTTAGGCCCTTCCCTCTCAGCCCCACTTCCAGCCTCTAGGGGGTAGGCACTGTAGGGGGCCATATTCCCCACCCCCAGCACAATACAGCCACCTCTAGAGTGAAAGAGGCCAGCACAACACAACCTTGCCCCAGATGAAGCCAGCTATGGGGTAGGGCATTTTCCCCCTTTACCCCCTCCCCAATTCACAGGGGGGATCCCCTCCCCACATCCACCCATGACACAGCAGAGGCCAGGCCAGACACGGTGGGTTTCTCTTTCCTTTGTGGCGCTCATGGGGGGTTGGGGGGTCTTTGTTTCTCTTTATCCAGGATAATTCTCTTCCCAACATGCAGCGACAGCTCCAGTCTCTGGGGGAGAGGGAAGGGAGCAGGGGGAGAAGAAGGGGTGCAGGTGGCAGTGGAAGGGGGGAGGGGGCAGTCTAGGGGCATCAGCTCTTGTCAGCAGGGCTGTCTCTGTGCAGGGTGCTCTTCTTGATGGTCTCCAGGTACTCCTGCTGTGACACGGCCAGCACCGATGCCAGGATCTCATCGTCTTCCCAATCATGAAGGCCTGAAGGGTGGAGAAGATGGGGGATGGTACACAGCTGAGTAGAATGGCTCCCAGGATAGGCTAAGAGATGGCCAGCTTTGGGGTGGAGTGGCTGGGAAAAGAGTTAGGTAGAACAAGGAAAAAAAACTGAGGCTGAGATGTGGCCAGCTTTGGGGAGGACTGCCTGGGAATAGCTGAGTATCACAGGTTACAGGGAAGGCACAGATACAGCCAGCTCTGAGGTAGGGCAGCTGGGGAACAGCTGAGTGTAATAAGACCAAGATGCAGCCAGGTCTGGGGTGAAACATTTTGGAATGGCTGGGTATAACAAGGCACAATAGAGGCCAGGATATGACCAGGTCTGGGGTGGGGAGCCTGAAAACAGCTAAGTATAATAGCCTACAGGTAAGGCCATGTTGCAGCCAGGTCTGGGGTGCAGCAGGTAGGAAATGGCCAAGTATAACACCCCACAGAGAAGATAGAGATGCAGCTGGCCCTGGGACGGGATGGCTGAGAATGTAACAAGACCTAGATGCTGAGATTCAGTCTGGTCTGGGGTGGAACAATTGGAGAACAGCCAAGAGGCCAAGATGCACCCAGTTCTGGGGAGGAGTAGCTGGAGAATGGATCAATATAGCCCTCTGCTCTCCTGCGGGGGAAATAATGTGCCCAGCTCTGGGGTAGACTGGCTGGAGAACAGCTGAGTTTAGCAAGGCAAATGAGAGGTGAAATGCACCCAGCTGTGGGGAGGAGCAGTTGGATCAGCTGACTATAGCTCCCTACAGGGAAGGCAGAGATGTGGCCAGCTCTGTGGTAAGGCAGCTGGGGACCAGCTGAATATAACAAGGCAAAACTAAGGCCGAGATGCAACCAGCTCCAGGGAGAGGCAGCTTGAAACAGCAGAGTATGACCCCTCCCCAGGGGAAGGCTGGGATGCACCTAGCTTTGGGAAGGAACAGCTGAGTATAACCAACACAAGAGGCTGAGATGCAGCTGGCTCTGGGATGAAGCAGCTTTGAATGGCCAAGTATATAATGCTCCACAGAGAAGGCCGAGATGTGCCTAGCTCTGGGGTAGAACAGCTGGAGAAAAGCAGAATCTAACGGCATCAGTGAGGTTGAGATACAGCCTATTCTGGGGAATAATGCCCAGTATAACCCCAATCTGGCAGAGCCGAGATGTGCCCAGCTCTGCAGCAGGGAACAGAGCCCTTTCTCCCACCCCCATCAGTCCTAGCTGCTCTGAAGCCTTGCCCCCAGCTCCAAATCCCTTCCCTTCTCCCCCCTAGAGGCACTCACCGAAGGCGGTGGGGGACATCTGCTGCATGATGGCACGGCACTCCAGTGCAGGGTACAGGGATACCAATGGGGGGGTAGTGCGGCCCCCTGCAGCTGCCAGCTGACTGCTGGTACCTGTGGGGGGGGGAAGCTGAGCAGTAGGCCCCTGTCCCCATTGCCCCCAGGAACCCTGAGCTACCCCAGTGAGCTAAAACACTCCCACAGTCCCAGCAGCCTCTATCCTAGCCCCGACTTACTGCCTCACATCCATCACCCCAGCAGCTCATAGCCCCGCCCCACCCCATTCCCCCAGCAGCTCACAGCCTGCCCCCATTCCCCCAGAACTCACACCCCAGCCCCCACACCCCATAGCTCTGCCTCGCATTCCTCCAGGACCTATATCCCTGCCACCACCCTATGTCCTAGGACCACCTGCATTCCCCCAGCAGGACATAGCACCACCCTATCTTCCCAGTAGTGCACAGACCTGCTCCCATAAGCCTTGCCTTCATTGCTCCAGAAGATCATAGCTCTGCCCCCAAGGACTCGTAGCTCCACACCACTCAATTCTCCAGTGCCACCCACATCTCCCCAGCAAACCATAGCCCAGCCTCTATGACCTATAGCCCTGCCCCATTCCCCAGCAGCCTGGAGCTCGACCCTTATCCCAGTTCCACCTGCCAACAGCTCCTGCCCCCTCCTCACTCTCAGACCCCCAGCAACCTATCACCTTGCTGCCAGGACCCATAGCCCCTCCCTCACAACATATAACCCCTGTCCCCATCTCCCCAGCAGCCCATAGCCCCATCCCCACCCAAGCCACCTACCTGGAGCGCAGGGAGAGGGTGGTTTAGGGGGACCGGTGCCAGGTGAGGGGGGCTTGCCAGAAGGGGGCACAAGCTCAGTGTGCAGCCCTGGGTGCTCGGGGGAGGGGGCGGCACTGCGCTGCCGAGGTGAGCGCCCACTCCACTCCTCAGGGCCCCCTGCTGCTGCTGCCGTGGCTGAGCTGCAGGTGGCACTGGCCTTGCGTGGCTGCAAGAAACTAAGGGTTAACAGCAGGCTCTGCCACAACCCACAGGCCCCACCCCCTAGGTCCAGGAGCCACTGGGATGCTGGAGTTGAGGGGAGTTGATGGGGATCAATAGGAAATGGCCTAGTATAAGGTGCCAAAATGCCACCAGCTCTGGGGTGGGACTGCTGGGGAATGGCCAAGTAGAACAGGCTGAGATGCAGCCAGCTCTGGTGTGCCACAGCTGAGCATAACAGGCCAGGTTGCAGCCAGCTTTAGGGAAAGCTGAGTATAAAGAGGCCAAGATGCAGCCAGTTCTTGGGGTAGGGCAGCTGAGTATAATGAGGCATAAGAGGGAGAGAAGCAACCAGTTCTTGGAGCAGAGAGGGACAACCAAGCCTAAAGGCTGAGTTGTGCCCACCTCTGGGGAGGAACATCTAGTAAATGACTGAATCCAAGAGGCTGGGATGCAGCCAGCTCTGGGGAAAGCAGCTAAGTACAATAGGTTGAGTTGTGTACAGCTCTGGGAAGGAGAAGCTAGGGGAATGGCCGAGTCTAATGGGCTGAGATATACCCAGCTCTGGATGCAAATGGCCCAGTCAAAGAGGTCATGGTGTGCTGAGCTCTTGAGGGGAGCAACCAAGCACAACAGGCCAAGATGCACCCAGCTCTGGGGTGCAGCAGCTGGGAAACAGCTGGGTCTAATGGACTGAGATGTAGCCAGCTCTGGGGGGGTGGGAAAACCGAGTCTAACAGGATACAATGCATCCAGCTCTGGGTGGGAACAAGCCAGGATGTGCCTAGCTCTCGGGGGAACAGCCAAACATAATGGGCCAAGATGTGCCCAGCTCTGGGGAGCTGTGGCAGGGAGGGGCTCACCTGGCGCGCCTGCTTCTCCTGGTCGCGCAGCCACTGCAGGTAGGACTCACGAGCCACCTGCTCCTCAATGGCCTCATTGGTGGCCTCCCAGTCAGTTGCCCGCTTCTTGTCCTCCAGCATCTGCTGCTCAATCCATGACTCCTCCGATGTCTTGATGGCATTCTTCATAAGCGACTGCTCTGCATACTGGGGGGAAGCAGGGGGTGGAGTTAGCCAGGCAGTGGGTGGAGCCAGGGACTTCCACCCGGAGGGTGAGGCACTACCCCACCCTACAGCACCAGTCCTCACCTGCCTTATGGCACCTGGGCACCTAGCCACACCTCTAAAGCACAGGCTCCACCCCCTGGGTCCATGGCCACACCCATAGGACACACAGACCTGCGTCAGTAGGGACACCCCCATGACCCTGAACATACCCTGACCAGGCCCTTCCCTGTGCACCTGGCCATAGCAGCTAGACCAGTGGTTCTCAACCTTTTATGTACCAGGACCTCCTTGTAAACATCAATGGCCAGTCCCGATCCAGTACCCCTCACTCCTGACCCACTGTGCCCTGCCACCAGCCGCTAGTGTGTGGGACAAGGGCCCCCCACCAAGCAGCCCCTTACAGGCTGGAACTCTGCCAGTCTGCAACAGAAAAGCCATGTTTTTTTTTAAGCATTCCTGGGGATAACTGTTCTTCTGGCATAGTTTAGTACCCACTGAGGTGTTGCGGCTTAAAGCCCACTTTATGGAAATGGAAGGCTCCTCCCTAGCTTGCTTCTGCGGCCATGTGGCTGAGGGCAGGCAAAACTTGGGGGCATCAGAACCCCAAGTCTGGACTTGGGCCTGTACGTAGTACGCCAACCAAAAGACTTTGGAAATAACTAAAGCCTTTGGTGGGGGTGGAGGATGTTTGCTGGTTGTAGGGCCACTTATGGTTCTGGGCTGACTTTGGACTTGATTAGGCTTGGAACATGAAAAATTCCTTTAGAAAAGGTTTTCTCCTTTAAAGGAGAATCCATTTTTAAAGCCTGCTCGTGACCCTTCCATATATTTTTGTGATCCAGTTTTGCATCATGACCCATGGGTTGAGAAATGCTGCCCTAGAGCATTACCTAGGGGTATGCCTACACCACGCCCTGCACCTCAGGAGCAGGGCTGGGGCAGGGCAATAGCAGGACTGCAGAGATGCTGTGCTGCTGCTACTCACCACCCACCCACTCAGCATCCAGCCACTCACCACCCCCTCCCCAGCTCCACATCCAGCTACTTGCCACCCCCCCAGGGGTACACTTATTAAAAAGGGGACCGCAAGAGGTACATTTATTTTAAAAAGTTGAAAACCCCTGCCCTAGTACATAGGTCCTCCCCCTATGTCCCTGACCATGCCTCCAGAGCACAGGCCCTGTCCCCCGTCCCCTCCAACCCATGTCCTGACCGTGCCCTTTGAGTGCAGGCCCCATACCTGGGGAGACACCATGAGATAGAGATGGACCCACATCCTGAGCTCAGGCCCCACTCCCTTCTGCTACCCTAGCCACACCTCTTTACATAGCCCTGCCCCCAGCTTGAGGGAGGGTGGGGAGAACCACCCCTTGTCATAGCCCTGCCTCCCCAGTATAGCCCTGCCCCCTCAACCCCAGTAGGAAGAGGGTAGACAGAGCTCTGACTTATAGGGAGAAGGCAAACAGAACTCTATCCCAGCATAACCCCATCCACCCACTCGCACACCCCAGCACAGCCTCGCCCCCTGAGTCCCCTCAACTTGAAGGAGCAGCAGGCTGAGCCCCCCCCCCCCAAGTCTGGCTCTGCCCCCTCACCCCGGGCTTGTAGGCAGGTAGGCCAAGGCCAACACCAATGGTGGCTTTGTTGGGGTTGACAACGGAGTTGTAGTGCACGTTGCGGTGGTAGCTCACACGGATTGGCTCGTCCTCGTTCTGCTGGATCCCATGGAACGTGTTGATGGGCTCTGGGGTGGGGGCAGGGGGAGCGCAAAGAGGAGGGGGGCATGGGAATGGGACCCAGGCGTCTGGGCTCCTGGCCCCTCCCCGGCAAAGAGGGGTGTCCAGGCTCCCAGTTCTCCTAGGGAGGAGAGAACTCAGTTGTCTGTGCCTCCCACCCCCAGCAGGGATAGAACCCAGGTGTGCAGCCCCCAATCCCTGTAGCAGGGATGAAACCTAGGCATCCAGCTCCCTCCCATCCCTGCCATAGCAGGAGGCATCTAGGGCACCTGTGCCATACTGGTAGACCTCCACAGGGCGGTTGTACATCTCAGCCATGGCCTGCATCTCGATGTGGTTGCCATGGCAATTGCTTTTCCGCTTGCGGTTGATGTAGGTGGTGAAATCCTCAGTCACATAGTTAGAGAAGTAGTCAGCATTCTTCATCTGGGGGCAGTTGGGGGGGAGAGAACCTAGGCATCTGAGCTGCCAGCCCCCCTGCTCTCACCCCCCAGCCCCCACTCCCCTGCTGGAGAACCCACATGTCTGGGCTGCCCATCCCTGGTTATATAATCCTAACTGGCTTCCCTAGAGCTGGGAAAAAAACCCAGGTGTCCAGACAGCCAGATCCACCCTGCTCTAATGCAACAGGCCTCCATTCCCCACCCCCAGCATCAGGATGGAACCCAGGAGTCCAGGCTCCCAACCACCCCGCTCTCACATCCCAGCCCTACTGCCCCGCCAGAGAACCCAGGAGTCCTGGCTGCACACACCCTTTGCTCTCACCCCCAGGTCCTCCCCATCCCTCAGAGAACCCAGGTGTCTGGGCCCTACCACCACTCACCAAGTAGTCCATGCAGTGTTTCCGGACCACCTCATGCATGTCCTGGTCACCATATACCTGGTCGGCTGAAGTGGCGGGGAAGGAGAAGAAGCAAAGGATCATGAGATAGGGCCCAAAGGCATCCCTCCAAGGGAGGGCATTGCTAACTAGAATGCTGACATGGGGCCCGACTGATAGCCCATATACCTGGGACCTCTCCCTGCTCTGGGCAGGGAAGTAAGAGGGTGGTTGGTGGATGGCAGCTGGGAGCCTGGACACCTGGGTTCTCTGGGAGGGGAATGGTGGCTGGTGGGTTGGATCATAGGAACCCAGACACCTGGGTCCTCTTGGCCTGCCTCTGAGCGCACACTCCTCTCTATCCTGCTGCTAAGTCAGAGAGGAATTTGCTGATGCACCAGCACAGAGTGAGGGAATCTGCTGAGTCAAGGGGGAAGGGATCTGCTGAATCAGAGAAGGTCCAAGATGCACCCAGCTCTGGGGTGAAGCAGGTGAGGAATGGCCAAGCATAACAGGGCACAAGGAGGGTGAGATTCAGCCAGCCCTGGGGCAGGGCAGGTTAGGAACAGCTGAATGTAACAGGGCAAAAGAAAGGAGAGATGCGCCCAGCTCTGGGGAGCTCTGACTAGGGAACGGCTGAGTATAACACTATAATGCAGGGGTGAGCAAAATGCAGCCTGCCAGGCCATTCTATCCAGCCCGCGGGGCCCTTAAAAATTTGGAAAATTAATATTTATCTGCCCCTGGCTGCCTGTCATGTGGTCCTCGATGGCTTGCTAAAACTCAGTAAGCAGCCCTCCGCCCAAAATAATTGCCCATCCCTGCTATAATGGGAAGGCTGAAATGGACCCAGCTCTGGGGTGGAATGGCTGAGGAACAGTCAAGTATAACAGTATGAAGTGGGGGCTAAGATGCATCCAGCTCTGGGTTGTAGCACCTGGAAAACATCTGAGTATAACACTACAGAGAGGGCTGACATGCATCTAGCTCTGGGGAGGAACAGATAAGGAACAGCAAAGTGTAATGTCATAGAGAGAGGGCTGAGATGCACCCAGCTCTAGGGTGGAATGGCTGAGTATAACACTGTGAAGGGGAGGCCCAGATGCAGCCAGTTATAAGGTGGGCCAGCTGGGAAACAGCTGAGTATAACACTATAAAGGGAGGGTTGAGATATGTCCAGTTCTGAGGTAGGGCAGGTTAGGAACAGCCAAGTCTAATATGGCACAAAGAGGGAAAGATGCACCTAACTCCGGGTAGAACAACAGAGTGTAACACCACAGAGGGAGGGTGCCTAGCTCTGGGGCAGAGTGGCTGAGTATAATGCAAGAGAGAGAAGGCTGAGATTCACCCAGCTCTGGGGTGGGGCAGGTCAGGGATAACCAGAACAGCAGAACAGTGCACAAAAAAGGCAAGATGCATCCACATCTGACATGTAAGGCTGGGGAACAACAGAGTATAATACTATGAAGGAAGAGCCCAGATGTGCCCAGCTCCTGGGTAGAGCAGGGCACAAGGAGGGCAAGATGCAGCCACCCCTGGGGTCAAACACCATAGAGGGAGGGCCAAGATGCACCCAATTCTGGTGTGAAGCAGTTTAGAAATGGCTGCATATAACAGGACACAAGGAAGGTGATATGTGCCCAGCTCTGGGGTTGGGCAGTTGAGGAATAGCTAAGTATAACACTGCTTGGTTTCTAGCCCCACAACTCTGCCAGGGGGTCAGACAGGGGGAAGCAGATAAGGGGCTGGGGTGCAGATGCAGGGTAGAAGCCACTCACCCACAGCCCGGAAAAGACAGGCCCCATCTTCCTTCATCTGCTTGATAATGAAGCCTTTCTTTTCTCTCAATGCCTTCTCAAACCTGTGCTCCTGCTGGAGGCAAGAGGGGTGGAGTCAGCAACTGGCCAAGCCCCAAGACCTGCCCCCTGGACACCACCCCCACAAGGCTGCCAAGCTCCGCCCTCAGTGGCTCACACCCCCATATACCCCACCAGGGTCCCAGAGAGAGACTCAAGCACACAGGGAGTCCAGAGTCTGGGGCCCACCTCCCCTTGCCCAGCATCAACACCAATGCAGATACCCAGCATCCAGCACCCCCACCTGCATAGACACTGAACCCAGGGTCCCCTCCCTAACCCTGGCACACGCATGAAACCCTGGTGTCCAGGCACCCCCAGTCTCAGAACCCAGGTGTCCAGCATCAACATTCACACAGAACCCAGGCATGGGGGGCAGCTATACCTCAGCTGCCCCTCCTCCATCTCTGCTCCTCCCAGATCACACAGGGCCTACTTCACCCCAGAGACCCCTCCTCTTCCCTCCAGGTCACAAAGGGGCCCCCACTTCTCCCCT